AGAGAGAGAGAGAGAGAGAGAGAGAGAGAGAGAGAGAACAAATGCACAGAAGTTTATGTGGTTAGAGATGAGGGAAACAGAAGGAATAGAAAAAGTTTTCAAGGGGAAAATCATGATCAAATTATGATGTATAAGGAAACTTTTTAGATTAAAAAAATAAATTAGTTAATTATTCCTTTAATACTTTTCATATGACAGGAACATTAATTCCTGTGATCCTTTAAGACCATATGGCCTAACACTGGCTCATTGCTCACAATGTGACATTAGTCTCTGGTAGCCAAGGAAACAAGAGAACTTTCAGAGTCATTTTTGCTACAGTTGGCAGATACTAACATTTGGACTTCATACAAGACACAAAGAGGTAAGTATTTTATGTCTTCCACGTGGTTTTTATTAATCACTTTCAATTTCAAGGGCCAAAGAAGGCCCCTGACATATGATTAGGATGTTACTTGAAATCTTTTCAATCTGAGTATATCTTCATGATATCTTAAGGATTAGGAAGCCCACTGCTAGTCTTTGAGGGCTATGGGGCCTGAACCCACTGTCATACTTGTGAAGTTTCATGAAACTGAGTACATGAATTAGACTCTTTGTGTTGTTTTACTAGTTATAAAATGGGGATATTGATAGTGTGGATCTCATTGGAGGCACAAGAATATCAGATGGGCCAATACCTCTGAAGTGTATAAATGAGGCTCCAACTAAACATGTGAAAGGAATGGAAAGATTTGTTCAGGCATGGGGTTGGGGAGACACTGTTCTGAGCTAAAATACCTGTCTAATACAACCTCTTTTACTGAAGGTTTTCTACCTCTTGTGTGACTCCCTGTCTGGTCAACATTTCTTGTTATTTGGAAGATGTTTATGATCCTGGATTCTTTGAAATGGATCTCCTGACCCATGATACACAAAGGTAAAAGCTTAATATAAGCTACAAGGAAGCTTTCAAATCGTATCTTTCTGAGCACTATACATCTACTTCATAGGATTCAGACATTGGCAGAACCAGATCCGGCCGGGCTAGCTCATTTGTCTAGGACAAAGACATTCTCCACCCTGTTTCTAGTTGTGTTTCAAAATTCACTGCTTCTGTAGTCCCTGCCTCAGATTTGCCTTGGCAAGGAAGAGGGTGTTACTCAAGCCACCATCAACTCCAAACCCATCTTGCTGATGTAACTTCCCAAGTAGTACAGCTACCTCCTTCTTCCAGTTAGGAAGCACATTCCACAGAGCAGTGGGTAGCTAGTAAAGAAATTTTCCTGTCAAGAAGATACAGTTTGTTGGCCCCTCAAACCTTCTGCATGGTCAATAGCAATCTCATTTTCTACATGCCTTAGCTTCCTATCTTTCTGCTCAAGGACCCAGTGGTATCCCTCAGGGCATATTCATGAATATTAACATTATATACAAAGATACGAAATAGAAGTTATTTAAGTGGATTTGATCATGCAGTAAATATGCAGTTGTAATTTAGTACAAAAGAAGATATTTGTTCAGTAAGGTAGTCAGGATACATCAAATGTTTCAACCAAAAGAACCAAATTTTGAAAGTGGAATTTGAGTAAGTTATGAGAAATTATTCATCTGCCCTTATGATTTCCATGTAGATTTCAATTTTGTGGCACAGAAAAAAGAATTCAGATTTTCATACATGTTCATCAATCATACATGCACAAGCACAAGCATCAAGCATGAACACATATGCAAAAATACATACATACACACACACACACACACACACACACACACATATATATATATATATATATAT